CCAGGCCCCAGGCCCCAGGCCCCTGCGCACCGCGCGTGCGCGGCGGGGGCGCGCAGCTACCTGAGGGCGCCCCCACCCAGGCCAGGCCGAGCACCCCGTCGTCGAAGTCCCGGTCCGTGAAGACGTAGGCCAAGCAGTAGTCGTCATGGTTCTGCTCCGAATTCAGCTCTAAAAACTTCTCCACGCCGATATTGGGGAAACGGAAAGGGTTTGTGGGGTCCTTCTCATCCGCAGTTGTGTTGATCTAAGAGACATCAGGCCACCAGCATCAGCAAATCCCCTGCGCCGCGCCTCGCCTCGCTACGGGGTGCGGCCCCGGGTGCCTCAGGCCTAGAGCGGCCCCTGCGGGGCAGCCAACGCCGCCCCGCACCGGGCCGGCCACAGAGCTGAGGACTGCGACCCACGGCAGTCTGCCACCGAGCCACATCCCCAGCCACTTTTTTTATTTCAGGCTTTGAGCTAGAGGCTCAGGAGCTCCCTGGAGGGGACCTGGGCTTGGGAGCTCCTTGCCTCACCTCCCTCCGTGTTAAGGCTGCAGGCACACACCTCTGTGCCAAGCCCAGAGCTCTGCCCTACCCACTGACTGCCAAACACATTCAGTTGTAGTCAGCCCCAGAACACAAAAAGATTCAAAGGCAACCACATGTATATTATAAAACCACCCATAATTTAAAACACAGACAGCTTTCTACTACTGAACATAAAAATGAAATTCTCTGATACTTCCGTAACACTGGCTATCTGATTACACGTTAGAAATATATTATTAATATTTAAATATTTACTGATCAAATACAAATTTTAAACTATTTAATGAATTACATACACCCTTAACAAATGAGATTTAAACTATGATTCTAAGCCAGGCACACCCCTGGAATTCAGGAGACTGAGGCAGGAGGACCGCCCAGAGCTCCAGCCCAGCCTGGACTACAGAGAGACAATGTTTCCAAACAACCAAAAAATTAACAAATAACAGTTTTAATCTCAATAAAGATCTCAAAGCAAGCAGACACCACTCATGTGTACACAAGCATTTCTTTTCCAGAATGCGAACCATTTTACTTCTGAAAAAGGTGTTTCTGGGGCAACCAACCCACTTGGGTCCCCCTTCTGTCCTCCTCTTGGACAGGAGTTGTCTTTCCTCCAATAAATATATTCTGCTCTCTCTCTTAAAAAAAAAAAAAAAAAAATGTGCTCCAGCCAGGTGTGGTGCACGCCTATAATCCCAGCACTCAGGAAGCCGAGGCATCAAGGCCAACCTCAGCTACACCACAGTGAGACTCTGTCTCAAAAAAAAAAAAATGCTTCACCAAACTTGTTCGGCCATCCTCTGCTTTCTACTGCAGATTTCACTGCTCTGTTCACTAGGCAGTAACACCCAGATTCTACGTGCTGCGCAGCACTTTCACTCACTCAGTTGTGGCTGGACACAATCCTCAGTGCACGAAAGTAGCTGACTACAAAGAGCTCTTACATTGCAAGTCTATACACTATATTTCACCGTGAGACAATCCAATTTAAGATTTAATTACACTGCCTTTAAAAAGGAGAGCCGCCTGCCGCTACATTATTACATACACTATCATTTTCTAGTACACACATTTATCTAGTCAACCATGTTTTAAGAGAAACAGGGAAACAAATATAAAGAACACTGTGGCAAATACTTTTGTAATAGATTTAAAAAAAAACTCAGGCTGTATATTCAGTGTATAAAGTCTTAAAAAAATGTACATGCACATTCAGGAAACTCAGAAAATTTCTGAAACAAGTAGCTCAATTCGTAACATAGGCTTTTTGTTTTTTCTAGTACTGGAAGCTGACTCAGCACCTTGCACCTGCCAGGCACATTTATTTACTTATAATCTGCCACAGTCAAGCTCATAACCACTGACCCTGGGACTCCGAAGCGGCTCTTCTGAAAAACTGATAGTTTCTGGAATCTTGGGCAATATTAACACAAAAAAGGTTTCGTGGTCAAATTAATTAAGAAAAATATGGTTTTCTTTCCTGAAAGGGTTCTTAAAACTTGATACAAACTTTCAGAAAAAATTATGGCATAAGTATTTTTCCAACTTCTGGTTTTAACACTGTATCTATGCTCCTTCCCTGGAACCACAGAGCAAATCTTTTTTTTCTTGGTGAGGGGGTACCAACAATTGAACTTGGGGCCTCACACTTGCCAAGCAAGCACTGTGCCACTGAGCTACATCCCCAGTCCCCACAAAGCAAATCTTGAGCTGGGGAATAACATAAGAGTCTGAAAAACGCATCTCGTTTTCCAGGAAGTTCCTGAGGGGCTCAGGGCTTTACTAATGGTGTACTGATCAGACAGAAACCTGCTGTTCTTCATCTCTAGTTCAGTCCAGATTTAAACCCTGTAGATTTAATCCTTCAACCACGAAGCCAAGTGTCCTTATGTGTACAAGCCAGGAGTACATATGAACAGTCAGTCAGTCCAAGCTAAGTATTTAAATTACTTAATCATTGTTAAAAGCATTTGTTACATAAACATGAAGCTAAAAACCAAGCATTTTCTCTTTGATAAGCAGGCCTATTACTTCACTTCTTAATTTTCTTTAGCTTTGAAAGCTCTTACTCTTATGCGTTTCACCATGAAACTGATGTTTCGGATTCCCGAGAAGTCTGTGGTCTGGTAAATTGTGTCAATCGCTTTGACATGACTGGATATCTGTCAATTGAGAAAAAGAACAATTAGCGATCATTCTTCTCAAGTAGGAGAAAGATTATGAACTTTCAAGTCCAAAATCTGGAATTAATTATGTCCCACAATTTTCAGATTTTAAAATGTCTCATCACAGATTGGGCAAAAAAATAGCAAAGATTAGTGATACTCTTTGCTTCCCAGACTCTTCTCTGGCCAAATGCAAAAGCAAAGCCTGCTCCTGCCCGGTCCCGTAAAAGCCACTCCTCGGTCCGCCCAGTCACAGGCCCGTGCCTCTTCACACAGCGCTTCCTTAGGTTGGGCAGTGTCTTCATTTATGCTAAGACTGACTCAAACTGGGCCACTGTGACGTACGGGACTAAGGCAGCGCTCACCCGGCTGCCGTGTCCACCAAGCATTTGCTCTGTCTGGCTCAGCTGCCGCCACAACACTCCGGCCAGTCCACTGTCCCACCCTCTCTGACGGCGACAAGTGCAGACACTACTCCAGGCCTGATTCCACCTGCACTTTAAGTACTCGGCTCCCCTTCCCTCTTCTAAACATCCCTATCTTTATCTGTCTCCATCTGCCTTCAATCAAACTTCTCCCTCTTGCTGATGCCAGCCTCCACCACACGTTCAAAGCGCTCTCAGAGGCGCTGGGGTGCTCAACAGCATTACATCTGTCTCTTGTATCTTTCACTGCTTCTCTACTGAGTCACTTTCCTCGGCCTACAAACTCGCTCATGTTCACCTATGTCCCCCAGGCCCCCAAATCCATGTTATTTCTAAGCCACTGGATTCTTTTGTCTTTTTCACATCTCTTGAAAGCTTTACTGCCTCCTCTGCTCAACTTCTGCTCAGTCCAGCAGCTGAAAGCCAACTTCTACGCAATCACACAATTCACTGTGCATTCTCCCTGAAACGGGCCTGCCAGGCCCCTCCACTTTCTCGTGCTCCCTCTCACCTAGCCACTGAACACAGCACGGTAGCTTCTCCCAGGACCCAGTCCCCCACTGCACTCCACGTCGACAGCTCCAGGCTAACTCTCCTCAAGTTCCAGTTCCACCTCCTAAGTGAGTGATCACTTGGGCTTTTCTAGCCATGTCGTTTAGGCTGGCCTTGAACTCACTATGGACTCACCTGGCTTGCACACACAGCTAACACTAAGCTGGTGTCTGCCACCACAGTGAGCCCATCCTTTCCATGGGTGGTAGCCCATCTCCCAGCTTCAAATCCTGTGACTCCAAATGCATCGCCTGACCTTCCCTTCAGGGAACCCTCACACCACTGGGAAGGAATATCCTCCAAAGTGTGAACATTTGTAAGAATGCAGAAGACAGCGCAACGAGGAGCCCCAGAGAGTGCTCGGCACGGGATAACCCAGAGCAGAAGCCCTCCGAAAGGCTCCTTGATCCCTTGTGTCCACAGATGAAAGCCATTCTCAAAGGTACGCAGGCTCAGCTGGCACTCGATCCTCAGCACCAGCCCACGGCACAGCACAAAGGCAAGCTTCCAAGGCACCACCTCCCTCAGGAAGTGCGCTTCCCACACTGCTTCCGAGCACGCCGTCCTAACTGCCTTCCATTATTTCTGCGCTTACCTGGTGGATTCCACCACATCCCCTTCCTTTTCTCCAAGACAGTGTATGCACCACAGAAGCATGATCCAACAGAAAACTAAAATAGCGCATCATCGCACACGCACCTGGGCGATCACAGCTTCTCGTGTCCCGTAGTATTTATAGAAGAGGTGATCAGTCTGAATATAAAGCTGACAAGTATTTCTTTCAGCTAAAGTCGTACGTTTCTTCCTCAGGAGTTCTGGGCCATTGGGAGCATGTTCTTCTTGAGGTTTCTATATACGAAAAAAGAGTTTTTTCTGATAATTAGCAAGATTTCCTATATGATTTTTATAGTTAAGAATACACACAGTGGGCTGGTGAGATGGCTCAGTGGTCTAAAGCACCTACTTAGAACAAGCTAAGCAAAGCACAGGGACCGCGTTTCAATCCCCCAGCACCACATGCCAGCCAGCCCGCCCCCTGGTGGGCTGAGCTGGCCACACATTAAATAAATAAATAAATACATACATACATACATACATACATACATACACACAGTGGGCTGGGCATATACACCTACTAAGCAGTTTCGCACTACTATGATGCAGTGTGGTTCTCAAGGCCAGTAGCAAGGTCTCTGGGGAATGCAGACCACCGTGGCCGGCAGGCAGGAAGACACGGGGGCCAAGCAGCGAGGAAAGGGAGCACATCGGGGTGCTGCACACAGCACAGCCGGGTGCGGACCGGCCGGCCCTCCTCCAAGAGGACTACGGGGACAAGTGCAAAGGGAACACAGAGAGCTGGTGGAGGAGACAGAAACAGCACACACGTCCACTACCCTACACTGCATACATGTACCAGATTTCATGCCATAACATATGTTGTATATAACATATATATATCAGCATATATGCTGATCTTGTTGATGAAAAAAATTCCTTGCTAACATCATCTTGGGTCAAATGCTAGTCTCCAGACACGACTAAATACATCAAAGCTGCAGGGAGTGGTACATGACATATAGCTCAGTGGCTCAGCAGCTGCCTGGCAGGCACAAGGTCCTGAGTCCGATACCTGGTACTGAAAATAAAAGAATTAAAGCTGTATGTGGGGACATGTGAAATCCAGTCTACCTTGAAGGAAGGTCCCTGTACACAGCTTCAATAGGACTTTGCTCAGGGTCTTCCTTTAAATGGTTTCCAGGTTTCCATTATCACTCTCTCTGTAAATGACTAAAACGCTAAGACGCGCTTCAAGTGCACATATGTGCTACACTCTTTTTTTACAACTGTTATTCTAGACAAAAAGGGGTTCTCTATAGTAAACCTACTACTGTTACAAGTTGTAAAGGCAAGATTTTCCACCCCTGAAAAAAATCTGAATGTTTTAATGTGGAAACAATTTTTAACATTTTAAATTAAAAAGTCATATGGGCTGGCCAGAGAGCTCAGCGGATTAAAGCACTTGCTTAGGCAGACACAGGGACCGGGGTTTGATACCGGGCAGGCGTGCTGCGCCAGCCCCAGCTGGGCCCCAGGGCACAATGAGACGGTGACTGGGACTGGGCATGGTGGCACACGCCTGTAATCCTGTGCTTGGCAGGCTGAAAACAGGAAGATCACTACGAGTCTGAGCTGTGCAGTGAGACCTTATAGACCCTGTACTAAATACATTTAAAAAAAAAAATTAGAAAGTCAATCTCTTTTGAGACAGGGTCTCACTCTGTAGCCCTGGCTGGCCTTGAACTCACTGCAGTTGTCCTGCCTCAGCCACCTCAAGCCTCAGTGCTTGCATTACAGGAGTGCACCCCCACACCTAGCATAACAGGTCAGTCTTAAAGCCAGGTACGGTGTGTGGGCCCACATCCTACCTCCAAAACAGTCACTCTTTCAACGAGAAGTACAGAAATTAACATAAAGGTGCTCAACTCTATTACTGAGTGGTTCAGATGCTCTTGTTGTTGCAACACAGGAGGGGGCTTGACGCAGAGCCTCCACACTAAGCTACATCCTTATGCCTTTTAAAGTGTTTTCAAAATATTTTTTCTTTTCCTTAAAACTTGGAGACAGGCCGCCACTAAGCTGCCCAGATAGGTTCAAATTTACAATCCTTTCGGCCTCAGCCTCGCGGATGGGTTTCATTCTGTCTGCTTTTCAAACCATCACGCACTTCCTCTCCATCTCCTTTTGCTTTCCCCAGCTTTTGCTTTTCGTGTCTTGGAGTGATGTAGAACGGACAAAGCTAGCCTGGGGAACTGAACCTTCTGTCTCTGCAGTGCAGTGACTTGGATGGGTTCTCAGTCCCAAACTTCTTTGATGTTAAGGCACAAGTTTCGTTGGAGTCAGCACATTTTGTTACCCTGCAGACTGTGCTTTGGCCCTTCTCAGATCCTTCCATTCTTATATGCTTACATTCTCAACTACTTGTGTAAACTCTGAGACAGGCTCTCCCTAAGTTGTTAAGCTCCCACCTTCTGCCTCAGCCTCCTCTGAGCCGCAGTTGCAAGCAGGTGCCACCACACTGGGCTGCTTTATCAGTGTTTTAATGGAGTTGAAAGAGTTTGTCACACATTCTGACAGAAAGTCCTTTGTCAGGTGTGTTGTAAATCTTCTCTCGGTCTGTGGCTTGTTTTCACATTTTCTTCTCTGTGTCTTTTGAGATGAAGTTTTTAACCTTGATAAAGTTTAGTTCACACATTTTTTTGTTTTGTATCCTAAGAAATTATCTATCTGAAAATCATAAAAATTTCTTCTATGTTTTTTTCCTGTAAGCTTAAGTCTACTGTAATTTTTACTGAACTTTTTTTTTTTTTTTTTCAGTACTGGGGATTGAACTCAGGACGCTTCACTTGCCAGGCAAGTGCTTATTCTATTGAGCTATCTTCCTGGCCCGTTTACTGAACTTTCTCTTTCACTTCTTTCACTTTTTTCTTTCCTTTCATCACACTGAGTTAATTTTTATATAAGGTCTACAGAAGGATTCTTCTCCCATAGGATGTTCAATTGTTCTAGTACTTCAAAAAAAGACTATTCTTTCCTTCTTGAAATTACTTTAAGGGCCAAGAAAGATAGCTCAGAGGTGTAAGCTGTGTAACAAGACCCTATACCAAATAAATAAAACAAATAGATAAAAGATTTCTTTAAAAAAATTACTTTGAGACCTTCCAGAAATCAGACTATTCTGTTCCACTGATCTATATTTACTTACTCTTAGGTCAAGAGGACACTATCTTAATTCCTGCAGCTTTATAGTAAGTCTTGATAACCAAGTGGTGAAATCCTCTAGTCTTGTTTATTTTGAGAGGGGCTTTTTGTTTGTTTTTCCTTGTTGAAAACTGTTCTGGCTATTCCAGGTTCTTTACACATCAACCTAATTTTCAGGATCAGTTTTTCAACTACTAGATAAATCAACACTAGGATTAATAACCAATTCACTACTACTTACTAAGTTAGCTCTAGGTTATTACTGTTGTTGTTTTATGTTTGTTTGGGGTTTTATGCTTGTTTTTGTTGTTATACCTTTGCTGCAGGTTTTTTATAGATGCTCTGAACAGTCTGAGGAAGTTCTCTTCTACTCTTTGTTGCCGAATGCTGGTGTAGAAACTTAAAAACTGCTTTGTTAACAGCCCACTGGCGTAACCGTAACCGCAGGGCTTTCCTAACTGTGCTCTTCTGTGGAGCAGCTGAGATTACAGGGGCGGACCACTGCCTGAGCTGGCTCGCGTTTACTGCTCTAACCATCTCAGCTCTTAATATTTAGCCCATTTACTTTAGCATGGCCATTAATAGGGTTAGATTTAAACTTACTACCAAGGTATTTCTCCAGTTTGTCCTACCTATTCTGTGTCTTTTTTCCTACCTCGCTTTGGGGTATTTTTAACTAGATCTGATTTCCTTTGTTGACATGTTAACTACTCGCCCCTCCCATTTCTCACTACTTGCTACAGTGCAGGAAATTCCTGTTAACATTTTCTTAAAAGTCATTAGTACACATTTGCAATGACTGCACTTACCATGGGACTGGCACAGGAACATGTGTGACCACCCCTTTTCTTCCCCTCCCTCTTCCTTCCCTCCTTCCATCTCCTGGTCAAAAGCTTTAACAGTGGCCAGGCACAACAGTACCTATAATCCCAGCATTCTGGGAGGCTGGGGCGGGCAGGAGGGATGCATGTTTGAGCCCAGTCTGGACAGCTTAGTAAAATCCTGTCTAAATTTTTTTTCTTCTTTTTTTTTAAATTAGAAAGCATGGGAGATGTAGCCTAGTGTGAAAACCCTGGGGTCAAAACCTACTACTGTCACAAAAAGAGGTTTGACAGTAAGAATTCAGACTCTCACATGGCTGACACTGACAAAGGTTCTACAATCTGAGGTACAGGATCTCAAGATAAATCCTGAGGTGATTTCACTGACCTTATCAGACCCAAAAGCTACAACTCTTGTTGCATAGGTCCTGCTTTACCTTGGTCTTAACCATCCAGCAGAAAAGTGTGAAGATGAAATATGGGAAGTAAAGCCATGCTGTTATGTTGAGCTGTGGGGGACTCAGGTCAACAATTTCTGACATTGCCAGTCAAGTGGAAGACCCAATACTATTATGGACTACTGAATTCTTTTAGAATATTTTGCTGAGTTTACACATCTATAATCTTTAAATGATGGAACTTAACAAAAAAAGGGGATACAGATGAATGTCCATTTTGTATCTATGTATTCAAAGTGGTTGGGATAGATATATAGCTACATTCTCTTAATGAACAGAATGATACGTTCTAATGGTGTTTGTAAATAGGATATCATGTCCACATCTTGTACAGCAATTAACCACTAAGAAGAATGTATGCAGTGTGTTAGTTATTGAAACTGTCCTAGTGATTTGATTTGAAACTGTCTCATTGCTATTTATCAATAAAATTATGGAAAAAAAAAAAGAATTCAGACTCTCAGACTATATAGTCTCTTATCACTAGTTAACTTATCCCTCTAGCATAAAAGCTGCCAGACAAGGCATCAACACGTGGGTGTGGCTGTGTCCCAGCAGGCTATACTTAACCATGACACCAGACCTTAGAACTCACTTTGTAGCCCAGGCTAGCCTGGAACTCAGCAATCCTCCTGCCTCAGCCTCTCAAGTGCTGGGATTACGGACATGTACCACCACGCCCAGCCAGTAATTTTTTCTCACACTTATTCTGAAAAACATGCCATTTCTCTTTCATTGTATTTCTGTTAGTCTGCTGCTCCTATCAACAAGTGCAATGTATTCTCGATGGTAGTGCTCTACTAAGTCACTCAACTCAAACTCTTCCCTCCCAGCTCAGCGGCCTGAACTCATTCCCTGTGCCCATATGACTAAGACCTGTGGCATAAGCCAGTTTCGCTTCACCTGAGCACCTGCTGATTAGTTTCCTGGACCCCAGTTAAAGGTGCTCCATCTTCCTTCCTGTATCTCTAGTCTTCATGTAGTACCACTCCTCCCGCTTAGAGTACTCTTTCCAGCTCTCAGGGCTAACCTGACTCCTCTGCTCTTTTAGCCTCCGATTACTGCTCACAAGTGCTGCCAAGGCCGGGTTAGCTATTTCTCTGCTGTGGTGTGTACTATCCTGTGTACAAGATTTTCCACCCCTACTACCCTGTTTCCCTTTCCCTCCAATTAAACTATAAGCTTTCTGAGAACAAGTCTTCAGCTTCGTCTCCACACACTGCCAGAACTTACTGCATTGCCTATGACATTTGGCAGATCAATACTGTACATGCTGCCAATCTTCCATGAATGCATAGATAAAATCTCAGGTAATATTTGAAGTCCACCTAAAATAGAACTGTACATGCCATTTTGCAGACCAAAAAACAGACCTGAATTTACATCTGTATGGCTCCAGAAACACCACCCACCCTATAGTATTCAGACTATCCAAACTGTAGCAATGTTTTATCACGAAAGAAAAAAATGTTTTGACAACTATAACCTACCACTTATAATTAAAGAAAGGTGAAAAAAAAAAATTTAGTCAAACGGAAAAAAAAAAAAAAAAAATCCCCAAAACCAAAACTTTACTATTAAAAACCATAAGCACTGAGATTTTTATTAGGGTCAACAACCATCCCCGTTTGTCTAGGGACTAAGACTGTCAGTACTAAAAGAGATTAACAAGGGGCCGGGGAGATGGCTCAATGGAATATGCGCTTCCCTGGCAAGCACAAGGGCCTGAGTTCAATCCCCGGTTCCGCGCAAAAAAAGAAGGAGAAAAAAAAAAAAAAAAAAAAAAGAGATTAACAGCTGGGCATGGTGGTTCATCTCTGTAATCCCAGCACACACTGACTTCAAGGCCAGCCTGTACCACATAGTGAGACCCTACTGCAAAATAAAAGAACAAGTGAACAGTAAGGCAAACCAGGACCAGTTGGCACCTTTAATTTTACATATACTACATTTATATAAAACACACAATTCAATTCTGAAACACTTCATGATGGAACATGGAAGGCCAATTAGACTGTGGACACGTCATATTTTGGGGTCCCACACACATTCACACCTCTGCCTCAGCACCACCTCTTTACTACTGGTAAGTTACCTGGAACCTTAGCATAAAAATGTAAGTATTTTACCACAGTGGCTCGGGGACACAGGCTCTGGACTACGAGCTGGACGGGCTCACCTGCGTGGCTTCCTCCACCCCCGTCATCTGGTACCGCTTCATCCTCTCGAACACTGAGTGGTCGGCACAGCCGCCCTGCGGCCCGTACTTGTGAGGGTAGTCTGAGGCACAAAGGAGAAGCTGTCAGGCTCTGCACGTCATATTTTGGGGTCAGATGTGGCCCACTGTCTCAGCTCCCACAACGAAGGCAGCAGGCAGGCACGCTCACTGGGTGCCTGGGAGAGGCAAGCTGCCCACCCACTTCAGGTTTTCAGATGGGGCTGCTCCTTCCACCAGCAGAAATCACTGGTCTCTAGCTTTCTGTCCTACGGATGACGTGTGGATTCTCAAACAGGACAAAGATCACTTTTTATTCTGGGTGTACTCTCTCAGCCTCCCCAATTTGGCTGCGTGGAGCCCCTTCGGTCTCAGGTTCACCTTGTTCTGTACCCTGCACCTCTCCCTTCAGACACATTGCAGGGCACAAAGCCCCCTCGCCCTCCAGCACGGCTAGGCTGGTAACACACTCTTAGTGCTGGCCTGAGCTCATTCTATCACTGCAACTGGCCTCAGTAAGAAGTGAACTAGAAACACACATATTCAGTGATGAAAGTGGATTACATTTATGTTTATTCAATGTGTGAGTCCTATGAATTCTTTACAAAGAGTAACTTATCACGTATTTCCCCTGCAATTAAACAGTGATTAATTTCTCCTTAACTTAATTAGTTCTGTTACTGCTCAACTTAGTTGTCATTTGAATGCTTACTCCAAGCCAGGCCTGGGTGCACTCCTGTAATTCCAGCACTCCAGGAGGCTGAGGCAGGAGGTGCACGAGTTGCAGGCCAGCAGGAAATCATTTAGCAACCAAGTGAGTGCAAGGTCTCAGTGAGACCAGGCAGAGGCTCTGTCCTCAGCAGGGAGCTTGGCTCAGTAGCAGGCTGGCAACTTCAGCCACAGGATGTTGTAGAAGAGAGAAGATAAGACAAGGAATTTTACAGATCCCGGGACATCAGCAGCCACCCAAAAATTTACACCAGACACTTCAAGGACTTTGTGCAGGGAGATGCAAGACAGCCAGGGATGTGTACTCGGCTCTTCCTGCCTGGTGTCCCCCACCTCCTTTCAATCCCAAGAAAGGGGCCCACTTCTCCTTGCCCCTGCCGATGGCTGTCAGTCACACCCTCTGCCTACCTGCACCCAGGTATTAATGACAGTGTGTGCCTCGCTGTGTCCTCATAAGCCTATCATTTGATCACATGCCCCCCTGCTTATTACAGTGGAACTCTCAAATTAAAAAGTTAAAAAAGGTTAGGGATGCAGGTCAGCTGAGTGCTGTGTTCAACCCCAGTCCCACAAAAAATTAAGGTCTTTTCCAGTCTCAGAAAATACTCCATCTTTTTTATTAAATTCTGCCTTAGTTCATAAACATATTTTATAACCCAGTCAGTAACCACAATTAAAATCACTGATCAAACAAAATACTAAGGCAGGGGTATGAAAGGAAGCGCTAAGAAATCTTAAGGAGCTTATAAATATAATACACTAAAATATAATTATCAACACTATGAGCGATTTCTTAAGAAAATCTAGAACCCAAGGTAGACACTACTTTAAACTATTCCATTGGAAAATTTAGTTAAACACTACAAAAGAAATTTAAGCTGGTAGTAAGTGCTAGGGGTAATGGGTAACCTACTTATAATGACAAAACAGTAATGATTTAAACTTTAATTTTTTTAATCAGAAAGAGCTGTGAAAGAAAATCAATGTGAAAAGAACGAAGATTACACTGTATAATGAAGATTACCACCATACAAGTGCACACTCAGAAGCTAACTCAGGCAAGGACGATTGGGATTGCTAGAGATGACCGGGACTGCTGGAGCGCTCCGGCCCACGTCTCGAGGGAACACGATGCTCTCCGCATTACCCATCAGCCGGAAGTCAGTCAGGAGCAGATGCCTTCCTTATGTCACCAACAGGAAATGTTCGCAGGTCAGGGCATCAAAAATGGTCAGATATGGGCCAGCAAGACAGCTCAGAGGTCTACAGCGCCTGCCTAGGCAAGCTTAGGCAAGTGCAAAGAGACCGCTGTTAGGTCTCTGGCACCATATGTTGCGCCAACTCCACGCCCAGGGTGGGCTGAGCCGGCCACCAAAAAAAAGTCACTAGATAAGATAAACACACATACACACTCCCTAAAACAAAGGTAACGTCATACACTGCAAACATATACTCAGTGTAAAAACAGAAGTGCAGCTTATCTAACCAAATCAACACTGGGACACACTGAAAATGAGGGACACGTTGCCCACTACTGACCTAGACAGAAGACGGACAATGTGTGTCATTCCACCTCAAAATCAGGATATTGAGTGAAATCTGTTAAGACGCACACGCTTAAATGTTGAAGCTTCTCTTACGTGAGAAACTCAAGGCATGAATGGGTTGGGGGGTAAACTGAGAAACGGATGCTAGGAAAGAGCGCCAGTCTCTGCGGATGGGAAGAGGACTAAGGCTTGGGGGGGGTGCGCCCACAGAGCAGGGGCGTGAGAGTGAGGGTGTGCTCTGCGCACACACTGACTCCCCTCGCACGAGGCAGCCGCCACCACGTACTGCAGCACGCCCTACTAAGAACAGAAACTTAGCACGGTGGTGCACACCTGTAATCCCAGCACCTGGAAGGCTGAGGCAGGAGGATTATAGCAAGACTGAGGCCAGCATGGGCCACATACGTGAGTTCAAGGCCAGCCTGAACTGCACAGCAAGGCCGCCTCCAAAAAAGAAAAAATTAAAAAAACAATGTATGTCATTAAACACACTCAGGAACTGGAGGTGAAGAGTATCAGAAATTAGACACTAACAAAGATGCAATAAATGCATTTAGATCACTAGAGAATTTTGTAATTTCATATAATTTTATAGATATATTAAACACTATTGAATTAATGATAATTTTAGGACTGAAATGTTATTACTATCTGGGAAAATGTACACTGGATGAAATCAATTCATATACTTTCAAAAAGCCAGCAAGGAGATCTCAGGATGTGGGAGATGTGGGAGATGGGAGCCAAGCGCTCCGCGAAAGCTGGCCGTCGGGAGGCAGCTGCGCGCACTCACTGCACACTTGCTCTAACTTTTGTCGCAGCCTTAAAAGTTTCAAAATAAATTTGGATCTGAAAGATTGTAAGAGCTGAGAAACAAGTTCAAGTAACTTTGAAAAGGGAAACTGACAGCACTACCGTGTTGGTAAGAAAGATCCGTTCGACTCACAGCTCTGCTGCTTCTCAGGCTGGCCTTGCTGAAGAGAAACTACGTACCACACAACGCGCCCTTGCTGGGCTGTGCCCACAGGCGGGGCGTGCCACAGCGCAGTGCCAAGAGCGCAGGTCTTACCCTTACGGGGAGAGCTGGGTACAAGCACCACAACCCCTCTTCTGCTACTAATCTTAACCTGAAATCATCCCAGCGAGCCTTGCCCAGGTTCTAACAGGACCCAGCATGCCTGGACCACCAAACACCCACTGCTGGGCTCCTCGCTGCCAGGGGCACTCACGTCAATCAACAACGTCAGACTTCATGGGCAACTCACAAACACACGCGTGCATACACACATGCACACACGGGCACCCACACTCACAAGTTCCTTACTCCATTCAGAGACTTATCCCTGGAATTTTGCCAGTTATTTTAGGAACTGTACATGCTAAACCATAGTGTGATCTTAGTAATTTATACTTCCACTGTTTTGTGATCTTCTGCCCTAAGACTAGGATAGTCCACTCTACAGTAACCAAAAAGTGCGCACATTCTCTGGCTGTCTCTCCCTTGAATCAGAGATAAAAAATGATTTCTTAAGAGACGAGGGTGTGTGACAGCATGATTCCTATTAAAGTAGACAGCTACCAGGCAGGCAGACAGGGCACAACAGCATGAGACAACTGTGGCCAGAGGCTGGATCTCAGGAAAAGAGAAATGACTACACCTTGTACTTTCCCTAAGGATAAACTGCAGTGAGCGGCATTCTAAACAGGCATCAGCCACCGTGGGGAGGAGGACCAAACCTCCTTCACCCTTCCTTCCGGGAGAGTCCTTGTCCATCCCACGTGCACCTGGTTCGGTACCTGCTTCCCCATTTGGTCCCCATTTACTCAGCACCACGCAAGCCACTCTACTTGTTGCGATCCTATTGCTTCACCATACTTCCATCCCACCTCACATCTACTTTGTGACTTCCCTCTGGATCAATATTACCTAAGCGACTATACCTGTAATCTTATTAAATGACTATAGTTTTTTCCCACCTTGAACCTTCCTAAGTGGCTTTGCTCAAAAAACACCCTTGAGAAGTGGGGTTCATGGGCCACCCACTTTCCAGATCTTCTATACCGCTTAGACTGAAGCTTTCTTTCTCTTAACAAATTATTATTATTATTATTATTATT